ACCCAACGAAATAACTAGTAAAAGTGTGAAATTATCTAAGATTCGAATGAACTAAGTATTTTCCCACATGAAGCCAAGGAAGGTGTATTCTCTCTCTAGAAATTCTCATCCAAACCACTATCACTCAAATGGACTTGGATCAAGTTCATCAAATTCCTCCCCCGAAACCCCCAGACATCATTATCAATCAATCTCCTGATAAATCCAAATTGCCAACTATTAGCTTTAAGGATAAATTGATACAAGGTGAACAATAAGCCTCAATCAATATGATCATTGACACAAATATACATGCTTTACCAAATTCTGAAGATATTTGGAAGGATGATCCCATATGCTCACCAAAAGTCCATCAAATACAATTAACTCAAGAGGATATCCATTGAATATATCAACCATGGAAATTCTCGACTATAGTTAAGCTGCAAGGGAGAAGAATTCAATACAACTTGCTCAAAAGAAAATTACATGAATTGTGGAAAACAAAGAAAAACTTCCCCTTGATAGATTTAGGGTGTGATTACTACATCATTAAATTTAGTAATGAGGAAGCTATGCAAAAAGCTCTACATATGGGTCCTTGGTTCATCTTTGGTCACTTCTTAACAGTCCAAAAATGGGAACCAAACTTTCTTGCATCGGAAGCAAAAATATCAAAAATTGCAGTATGGATTCGTCTTCCTCAGTTACCAACGGAATTTTATGATGGTTTAATCCTACAAAAAATTGGTAACAAAATTGGCAAGCTTTTAAAAGTTGATGTATGCACTTCCTCAACACTTAGAGGAAGATATACCGGATTATGTGTCGAATTGCCTTTGGATGTCCCAGTAACTCATTCTATCTACATCAGATCACACAAACAAACCATACATTATGAAGATGGGAATTTTCTCTGTGTTAAATGTGGAAGGCTTGGGCATGTTCAGTCCAAATGTCAGTTTAAAATAGTTTTGAATGCCTCTTCCCCAACTGCTTTGGACTCTACTGTCAACCAATCCAAGGACCACAAAGCATCAGTTCAGGGTATCAATGAAGATTTATTTCATCCTACTAAGGAAGAAGTGTGGCAAACGGTGAGCTTCCCAACAAAAAAGAAGGCCAATCACAAGAACAATTCAGGTAATACTAAAGAGCAAAACAAACCTTTGTCAGGTACATTTTCTTCTATCTCATTAAATGCTAAATCCGTTGATAAACAAATGCTTTTCAAATTTCCCAATAAGAATTCGTCTAAAAATTATATTGCAAGAAATAATAGCCCTCTTCTTTCCCCCACTATTGGAAATAAGTTTCAAGCTTTGGTTAATACGCCTAATCAGGATTGTATGGTGTTGGATGTGGCCCCATCCGCTAATGCTAATTGTCACGTGTCAACCCCGGCTAAGGACCAATTAAACAACATGCATGGCACTAATTATATGCCTACTACCCTAACTAATCAGGTTAACAATCCCCCCATGCCTCATATATCTCCTAATGACTCCCTAATCCCTAATGATCCCATAAATCTTACTGCCAAACTAGCTAACCCTTGCATGGGAAATAAAATACTCACTCAACACCTGTCCTAAGACTCCCCCGTTGGCCAACAAATGGTTAAAGAAACCATACACGTTTCAGGGACAAAATCTTCTCCAAATCCTACTAATACGGCTCAAGCAATCCCCAAAGCATGCAATTAGAGGTAATAAGTATCGACCCCCCTAAAACTCTAGAACCTATAGTCATCCCTTCAGAAAACCCTTACACTTACCATAATATAAATCATTCCTCTACTAGTAACTATGCCCAGAATACCAGTATCCCAAACAAGGCGTTATCGTCTAGTTCAGATCTTAAGGCATCAATGAGCCCATACAATGGCCAACCCTCCGATCCCCCAGGCAACCCAAACAATCAACCAAATATACTTTGTTCAACCTCTCCTTCCCCAAGATCATCAACCCCTCTCCTGGATAGAGCAAGCTTTGATGGGGCATGCAATATCATTCAACATGATATTGGATGGACATGAGACAGTGATAGTCCTTCAAAACTCTCACTTCCTTGCCCAGGTAGTATCGGAAGGATGCATATGGCAATGAGCAACCACTTCAACCATGTTTGGTTGAACAACATACTCCATCCCCTAGCCCCATCAATGAATTCCAACCTAGCCCAAACTATGAGAAACCAATGGAGTCTTCCACCCCATTTCAACCCAATCCAAACTCAGAACATGCAAATGGATCTCCCATTCTTTCCTCTAGGGGAGATCTCGAACATGAACCCAATATTTATGCCATGGTCCATGCCAAACACCCATGCAACGAACCATATGGCCAACCAAATGGAAATTCCTCCACATGCAAACAACCCCCAACCAAACGGTCCTCTAGACCAAAACAATGTGCCACAACAACAACAAGCTCCTCCCAATCAACCAGAACCAGAAGACCAACCAATAGAGGATGTATAGGAGCTGAACTTGCTGGGGTCCGACCAAATCCTAGAGTTTTCAAGTCTAAACGATGTAAAGGTTTATCTACTCAGGGAAATGTGCGAGAAGAGATATGTTCTCAGTTGTCCCCCAACTCGATGGATGTTAGGCCTCCATAGGACCCTACTGTAAGAAGCCATGCAATGATCTTGGTGCCTTCGATCAGGAGGAACCCAACTCCCCCTCCACAGAGAATGAGGGACAATGGTAACATACAAAACCTTATCCTTCATAATATGATGCCTCAAAATGTTAACTTCATCATATGGAACATAAGGGGTGGTAATAACGACACCTTTAGGGTAAACTTTAGAGAAATGATCGATACCCATAAACCTAGTGTTGTAACCCTACTGGAGACTTGTATGGAAAACCATGTTTCCCTCCTTAATGATTTTCCCTTCACTCAAATGATTGAAGTCCCAGCTGAGAGACAATCTAGAGGAATGGTCATTCTTTGGAAATGGTTACAGTGAAGGATTTTGTGAGAAGGAACCAAGAGATACATGCTAATATTGAGGTTTATCCATCAAATATTTCTTGGCTTTTTTCATCTATTTATGCTATTACTAAAGTAGCTAGTAGGAATGATCTTTGGAGTAATATTGAGGGAATTTATGAAAATTATAAAAGTCCTTGGCTCTTGGGTGGTGATTTTAATGATATTTTTAGCATGAATGATAAGTTTGGGGGTAGGAGTATTAATAGTAGACGTAGTTCCCATTTATGGTCAAGTGTTAATCATTGTAGCCTTTTTTATCTTGGTTTTAAAGGTTGTAAGTACACTTGGACTAACAACCGTAGGAAATCTAATAAATTAATCATGAAACACACTCTGACCATAATCCTTTATTACTTCAATTGGTTCCCAACAATAGATTTCATAATGGTAAACCATTTAGAATTGAATTTATATGGTGTAGACATCCGAACTTTATAAATATAGTTAGGACTAGTTGGCAATCTAATGATCTCCCTAAAGTTCATCAGATTTTCAAAGAAAAAATCATTCCTTGGAAAAATGATATCTTTGGGGATATCTTTAAAAAGAAAAAAATTTTGTTGGCACGTCTAGATGGAATTCAGAATTTTCCTAAGTATCAAACTAGTCCTTTTTTAATGAACTTGGAAACTTCTCTCCAACAAGAGTATAATGCTCTTTTAAAATTAGAAGAAGATTTTTGGAAGCTTCGTTCAAGAATTAGTTGATGCAATGAAGGTGATGCCAACACTCATTTCTTCAATAGCATGACTACCAATAGAAAACGTGTTAACTCTATATTGTACTTCAAAGATGAAAATGGCAATTGGGTATCTGATGCAAAATCCATACTAGAATACACTTACAATTATTTTAGTAATTCTTATAAGATTTCTAAAACTATTAGTAAGATGACTTGTTTCAATAATCAATATGACTCCACTGGTCCTATTGATTTAATCACTCTTGATAATCCTGTTACAAAGGAAGAAGTTAGGAAAGCTATTTTTTCGTTCAAACCCTTTAAAGCACCGGGTTCGGATGGTATCCACCCTTTCTTTTATCAGAAGTATTGGAATATAGTTTGTGATTCAGTCATAAAATTTTGTCAAGAAGCCTTTGAATCACAATCTCTCCCTAAGGGTATTAATGATACTTACTTGTGTCTCATTCCAAAAATTGACAATGCCACTAATCTAAACTTTTTTTAGACCTATTGGGCTTTGTAATACAGTGTACAAAATTATTACCAAAATTATTGCTATAGACTAAAACAATTTCTTTCGGTCATTATCAGCCCTACACAATCGAGTTTTTAAAAAAATAGAAGAGCCGGTGATAATGCTATTATTATTCAGGAGATTATCAATAATATGTCCTCTTCAAACAACTCTAAATATGATATGTTATTGAAAATTGACCTCCAAAAGGCTTTTGACAAGTTAGAATGGGATTTTATTCATAAAACTCTAGTTTTCTTTCACTTTCCTCCCAAAATAACTAAGCTTATTATGCACTGTATTTGCACTAGTAATATTGGTGTCCTTGTCAATGGTACCAAGACAAATTTTTTAGCCCAAGTAGAGGAATCCGTCAAGGGGATCCTGTCACGACCCAATTTAGGATTGTGACCGGCGCTTAGGAGCAAGTGCTCCCAAGTAAGCCTTATCGGCAATTTTACAGAAAATCGGGCAGAGTTTCCCCTATTTTTGGACCATCCCAAAAATTTTCCTGTCTCAAATCAACAACCAAACATCCTAATATCATACCCAACAATTGACAACTTGCCAATTAACTAATACAAGTCTCCACCATAACTAAATCACCAACTAACCACTAGAGACACTAATCTATCTCCAACTTTGATAATAAAGAACGATACTCAGCATAAGACTATAATAAATAAATAATACTCATGACACTAAAAGAATGACTATGGAGCGACTCTAAGAATTTAAAGAATAGAACATAACAATAAATAAAATCTCCGCCCACGCGAACAAGTGCGAGGCTCACCAAGAACTATCAACCTGTGCGCTCTAATTAACGAAATCCTCGCCTGTGTCAACTGTTGTCTCTGAAAAAAAAAATTAGCGAGGAATGAGTCGCTAGCTCAGTGAGTAATAACACTTAACTACAACCATTTTTATTGGGGACAAGTCAGAAAACATGTTAGTATCTCAAACAGATAACATCAAAATGCCCTTTCAGAAACAATAAATAATTTTCAGTCTCATCATGTTTTTTCTTGTAGTATAATACAATTAATAGTTCAGTAATAAGCTCGATAACCACTGTATAATATCAATATTCACATTTGGGAGGTTTCAATGAACGGATCATGTAATCGGTATAATAGTGGACTTCTTCGCAAGAAGTCAAATATAACGGTAGTCCCTACTCGAGGGAAGTCGGTAACGGTATGCTAGTTCTACTTTCCCACTAGCGAGGGCTATAACGGTAATCTGTAATTACAATGTGCACCAGGTCTAACGAACCCGCCGTTAGCTATGGGATCCTTCAATGTCTACTCCCATTTATACTTGTCTCTGTAATCCGTATATACTCGTAGAAAATATTTTAAAACAATATAGGGCATTTCGGTTTTTATCAAATCATGTAATTTCGTTTCAATAACAGTAAATCTTATCTCAAGTAACAGTAAAACGTATTCAGTAACAATGAGAATATTCAGAATAACTGTAATCGTCTAAAATAAATATAGTAGTATCATATCGAGTAAAGGACTTGTCCCACATGCAGATTCAAATCAGTCGGTAACATGCTCATATTAAAATCATATGTAAATCATGCTAGTTGTAGAAATACAAATTGAGGTAAGGTTACTACTCACAGTACTCGTGCCGAAATACCAAATACTTCACCTCGTGCGATTCGTACGAATTCCTCCAATTAATCTATAATTACATAATATCGATCCCATGTTAATTTCCTCATTTAGGCTAAATCCATCACAAATGTAGAATACCCAAATCCTCCGAGTTTTATATTTCATCATCAATTCGTCGGATGTATTTTAATTACTTAATTCACCTAACCTCATTATTCTATTCACTGTCAATCATCTCATTATTACAATTTATTTGCTAATCCTTAGTATCCAAATTTACAACCAGCAACAGTAGAGACAACGTGGATTTCTGATGCATTCTTAAGGCCCAAAACTTAAATCATTATTGCACGATCATATGCCTTCCTCTTTATTACCCAATCACTAGGTGGCCATTATATCTTAAATTAAAGAGATAAAATTATAGTAGCAAAAACTTTATTTCAAAACAGACTACTCCAACCTTGGAATTTCATATAATTTTTGTTAAACCATTAACTAATTAGTTATTATAATAATTAGTAAGTTATTTTTTCCCCCCAATCATTACCTAATAATTGTAATACATAAATAATAATCAACATCCCAATTACATAAACAAATCACGTATTGCGAGTTTCCAATTTAAGTTGGCAGTGACTTTTCGTTCAACTGCTGAAAGTTGAGACTAAGAACTTTTAAAATTTTCAATTCCCAATCAGCGAAATCGCTACCCTTTAATTATTAATGACAACTTGCTCCAACTTAAATGCACATACAAACGAAAGGATATTGATATTAATATACCTGATTGCTTTGATTTCTCTACCAAAGTTTCCGCACAGTGCCAATTTTTCAAAGTAAATTAACTGATACTTTTCTGGTGTAGTGCCAACGTCTGCTCACCCTCCTTGTAACTTTTTCTATCTTGAAACCAGGAAGTTAATTCTTTTTCTTATCTACTCCCTAGGTCAAATCTGATAGTTGCGTAAATGGGTTTGGCCCAACTTTTTTTTTTGTTTTGTTTTTTGTTTAATAACCTTAGGTGGAGTTACGAAATTAGCCACTGGCCACTTATTTTATACACTATCTGATGTATTATTATTATTATTATTATTATTATTATTATTATTATTTACTAATGACCAATACACCCTTACTAAAAATATAAGGTATTACAAATCTCATATCACCATACATATTTATTCTATGTATGGAACTTATGTCTAGATTAATTGATAATCAAGTAGATACTTTGAGATGTGATCCCATAAAAATAACCCCTAGAGGTCCTTATTTCTCACACCTTTTCTTTGCTGACGATTTAACATTAATGGGTAAAGTTAATAATAAGACAGGTAATTGTATTAATCATTGCCTAAATTTGTTTATGGAAGAAACTGGGTTGTCTATAAATTACTCCAAGTCTAGGATTGTGTTCTCCAAAAAATGTCCAAGAGACATTTCAAGTCATTTAGCTAGTCTATTTACAAAAAATGTCCAAGAGACATTTCAAGTCATTTAGCTAGTCTATTTACAAAAAATGTCCAAGAGACATTTCAAGTCATTTAGCTAGTCTATTTACAAAAAATGTCCAAGAGACATTTCAAGTCATTTAGCTAGTCTATTTAAAATAAGGGCTAGTTTTGAATTTGGAAAATATCTTGGTTTTCCAATCCTAAATCTCAAACCAAAGCCCAAGGATTTTCAGTTTGTCATTGATAAAATGCGAGCTAAACTCTCTCTTTGGAAAACTAATCTCCTTAATATTGCGGGAAGAACCACCTTAGCATCCTCAACCCTGAATGATATGCCTTCTCATGTTATGCAATACACTATTCTATCTAAAAAGGTGTTAAACCAAATTGATAAGATCCTAAGGGATTTCATATGGGGAACCACTAATACTAAGAAAAAAAATCCACTTAGTCAATTGGAAAACCGTCACTAAGCAAAAATCTGAAGGAGGTCTAGGAATTCATACTGTTTTGCAAAAAAACTATGTTCTCCTTACTAGCCTTAGTTGGCGCCTTACAAATTTTCCTAATAACCCTTGGGCTCAACTAATTGCTAGTAAATATGCCAATAAAAAAACTACTTCAAAATGCTCCTTCATCTGGGCAGCGCTTCTAAAAGGGTATAAATTCCTTACCAAAGGAATGTTGTGGCGTCCAAGCAAAAATTCAAATCTTGACATTTGGTCAAGTAGATGGATTCATCATGCTCCCAGCCTTAGGAATTGTATAGAAGGACCTCTCCATAAATCTGATTACTTAATCTCCCTCAACCATTTGATTTCTAATGATCAATGGGATATGTCAAAAATTTCTTTTGACCTACCATCTTCTCTTATTAATAAGATCAGGGCTACTCCTATTCCATTAAGCTCAATGACTAAGGACCTAATGACCTGGGATTCGAATAGCAATGGCATATTTTCCTCCAAGTCCTGTTACAAACTTTTAGAGGATAACCACATAATGACTCAGGATAAAGAGCCTGAATTTAATTGGATTTGGGATCTCCATTGCCCTACTAAAATCAAGTTCTTTATTTGGCAATGCATGCACAAAAAAATCCCTTGTAGATCTTACCTTCTGTATATTGGTATCAACATTGATCTTATTTACCCTATGTGCAAACAAGGACCTGAGGACGCCGCTCACATTTTTCTCTTATGCCCTATAACTAACCGTTATTAGTCCAGTATTGTCACGATCCAATTTCCGAACCTGGTCATGATGGCGCCTCTCATGAAGACAAGGCCTGTCATTCAACCCAATTCATCCTTTAAAGACAATTACTTAACACAATTATAGTATAAACATGGTTTAATAATATCCAATAGCGGAAAGTATAGATAAAAT